TACAGAGAGTGTGTAATATAGTAATTGTGTACATAGAGTGTGTGTATAATTCACTTGTAATTAGCCACATATTGGCTGCAGATGTCAGAGACTTAGTTTTAACGGAAAGAATTTTAATATTACAGTTGATGGTTGGAAAAATGGTGTTTGCAGATGATTAAAACTATTTAAACTCAGCTTTAGATCTGCTGATGATGCTAACATGGATAGGGAAACGCGCGTTTCCGCACAAAAGAAGTGTTTTGGTATTTTGTGGTAAATTATTGTTTTGTTTTGCTGAATTAGAAAAGGCTATTAATTTTTATACATCATTATTCATCATCATCATCATCAGCCAGCCACTAAAGTCCACTGCTGGTTTGCTTCCATAACGCCCTATCTTGAGCTATTTGCATCCAGTTACTGTGGATACGCTTTAAGTCGTCATGCCATCTGGTTGGAGGACGGCATCTGCTCCTGAATGCATCATGTCTTGCTCTCCATTCTGTTATTTTCTTTGTCCATCGGTTATCGTTTAGCCTTGCAATGTGCCCTGCTCAATTCCATTTTAAAGTAGTTATTTTCTCTATGGCATCCATAAATTTTGTTCTCTCTCCCCCCCGTACTTCGATATTCGGTACTTTGTTACATTGCACCATTTTGGTAGCGGGTGGGTACTCATCTACAATCCCAATAGATGACAAACCCACTTCAGGGAGGCGCCCCTTCCCACGCCTGCCTTGGTTTATCTCCCAACATCATAATGGGGGAAACCAGTGTCCAATCCTACGTTTTTTTTCCTTAAGCTCCCTATCCTAAGATCATACCCATTATTCCCTTCCTACCACCATAACTTCTTCCAGCCTGCATGACCAGCGTAGAAGAATACGGCGAAATAACCCCCCCTCAACACCAAAAAAATGGCGAATTTTAAAAGTAAAGGACAAGGTCTCCAGGTGGGCAAATCCCACCCCTTTATAAAGGGCTGCCTCATCTAATCTGGGGGAGGCAAAAAATAGCTTTTTAGTTAAACAGGCTAAAAACCCTCAAAGAGACAGCCTATTGTCTCATTTCGTAATTTTGGCGCCAACGTGTCTATTTAGTACCAGTGTTTAGATGTTTTATTGATGGTCAGGTAAAATTTAGAGAACATTTTATTAGATCAAGTGTGGTCTTATTTCAACAGCACTACGGGTTCAATATTGTCGGCGTTTATAACATAACAACGCATTATGTCTAATAATGTCTATCTGCAATAACAGACGAATTATGGCACGTCGACGTCTTGGCACCAGTCTTGGCCTTTCAGGTATTGCAAAAAAATGAGTTTAAATATTATAGCTATTTTTATAGCTTAAAGACCGCATTTTCTTTTATGCATATTCTTTCTCTGCAGATAAGACATTTGAACTCCATACAATATACAATATATAAACAAGGAATATACTATACAGGGTGCAGTGGCGGACTAAGCCTAATATATTTTTTTCTTAAAAATGCTTCCAGGGAAATACCGCGACAAAATATCGCGATTTTGTAAGTCCTCCAAGATCCGAGGGGCCCCTTCGCTGTCTCAGGCCCGTGGCCCCCGTTATACTAAATACTTCACTGCTCATCATCAGTAATGAAGCTAGAATACAAGTTATGCTGTGCATTGGTGGTAATTTAAAATGTTTAGTATAATATTTTTAGTGTAAAAATTTCACCCTTTCGAATATTTCATAATGGCTACACAAAAGGATACTTCACACAAAAAATTAGCCTAAAAACTTTTAAAACTTTTAATAATATATAATTTTCAATGCTTAAAAATTAGGTTTAACAGCACCTATGACCTATGTAATATTGATTCTTAAAAATGTAAGACTTTAAATTAAAAGTTAGTTTCCTATATTTTATTACTAGTTTATACCATACAATCGAAAAAAAAACGGCGTGAGAGGTAGCTTGGAAATTGGAAATGAAGATGGCTATTATTTTGTTTGTAAAATTATATGGGGAATGTCATTGATCGTAATTTCCAAGCCAACTGGACGCCGTTTTTTTTTCTATCATACGGTATTTATTTTAACATTACCATGTTAAATTTAATTTATATTATATGATCATTGATAATCGATAATAAAATTAATTTTTTAAAATTCCAACATCCAATGTTCAACCAATTTGAACATCAACTACATTGTCCATATAATTTTACATGTAAACTTTTTCGATTATCTTGTATAGTTTCCTATAAGAAATGTTTATGTTACAATGCAAAAATGTAAAGCACTCTTGATTCTTTATCATAAAACTTATTTTGATCATACTGTATTTCAGTGGCGGTTCGTCAGGGTAGGCAAGGTAAGTTTTCCAAGTAGGCAAGGTAAGCGGCGCCTACCCTAAGATTTTGGCAGAATTTAAGCGATTTATTATATTACATTATTTACTAGTAATGTTGCCAATACATAAAAATACTGTTAATACACGGAAGTGTGTTTTAATAATCAATAATATCTTAAAATTAGATAAGGTTTTTTATGTAGCCAGCTATTAGACTATAAGGTAACACTTAATTTTTTCTTGTTTTTTTTTAATTTTGGGTGCAACTTTCTCCAACAAAAAATTAAATTAGATTGTACCCCTACTTTTTGTGTCTAATCTCTAGGATCTTCTAACTGTAACTTAGATATTAAATTACTAGAAGAACAAAAGAAATAGATCTGTAGCTAATCCATTTTCTTCTTTTACGTCTAGTTTTTTATGCAGTAAATTTTCTGTAAATTCTGTTGGCTCTAATCGGAATACCTCTGAGTAAGGTACTGTTGTGGTACTGTTCTTTTTGGCTCGGATCATCTAATAAAATGTAAAACTAGACCGAAAATAACTGTATACAGTGCTCCAAAAACCGTAGCCCACATTTTTTTATATTGTTTCGGACCTTTTTAGAGCCCGCCTTGTTGGCCAAAGCACAATAATTTGATTATACAACAATGTTTATGGTTTTACTATTCAATGGCCTGCTATGGTATTTAAAATATACAGCGTGTTTTTTTAAGTCCCGATCTTTTAGTGTGGGTTTAGACCGTGATCCTTAAGGCGCGTTTTCAGGAGCAAACTTGAATGAATTAAATTGAAGAGAGAGAGAGAGAGAGAGAGAGAGAGAGAGAGAGAGAGAGAGAGAGAGAGAGAGAGAGAGGGAGAGAGGAGAGAGAGATCAGAAAAAAAATCAGAACGTGTATTATTTGGTATATTTTTCATTTTATTGATTTTATGGAAAGCACTGTTCATTAAAATGTTGTATCCTATGTTATAGGGCTTGTTTCTCTCTACAATTTCCCATCTCACAATGTACCGTTTGTGTCCAAGAAGGGTTTATAGTTTCATAGATGTCGATTTTCGAAAGAAATCAGAACATGTGTATTATTTGGTATATATTTTCATTTTATTGATTTTATGGAAAGCACTGTTAATTAAAATGTTGTATCCTATGTTATAGGGCTTGTTTCTCTCTACAATTTCCCGTCTCACAATGTACCGTTTGTGTCCAGGAAGGGTTCATAGTTTCATAGATGTCGATTTTCGAAAGAAATCAGAACATGTGTATTATTTGGTATATTTTTCATTTTATTGATTTTATGGAAAGCACTATTCATTAAAATGTTGTATCCTATGTTATAGGGCTTGTTTCTCTCTACAATTTCCCGTCTCACAATGTACCGTTTGTGTCCAGGAAGGGTTCATAGTTTCATAGATGTCGATTTTCGAAAGAAATCAGAACATGTGTATTATTTGGTATATTTTTCATTTTATTGATTTTATGGAAAGCACTGTTCATTAAAATGTTGTATCCTATGTTATAGGGCTTGTTTCTCTCTACAATTTCCCGTCTCACAATGTACCGTTTGTGTCCAGGAAGGGTTCATAGTTTCATAGATGTCGATTTTCGAAAGAAATCAGAACATGTGTATTATTTAGTATATTTTTCATTTTATTGATTTTATGGAAAGCACTGTTCATTAAAATGTTGTATCCTATGTTATAGGGCTTGTTTCTCTCTACAATTTCCTGTCTCATAATGTACCGTTTGTGTCCAGGAAGGATTCATAGTTTCATAGATGTCGATTTTCGAAAGAAATCAGAACATGTGTATTATTTGGTATATTTTTCATTTTATTGATTTTATGGAAAACACTGTTCATTAAAATGTTGTATCCTATGTTATAGGGCTTGTTTCTCTCTACAATTTCCTGTCTCACAATGTACCGTTTGTGGCCAGGAAGGGTTCATAGTTTCATAGATGTCGATTTTCGAAAGAAATCAGTACATGTATATTATTTCCTATATTTTTCATTTTATTGATTTTATGGAAAGCACTGTTCATTAAAATGTTGTATCCTATGTTATAGGGCTTGTTTCTCTCTACAATTTCCTGTCTCACAATGTACCGTTTGTGTCCAGGAAAGGTTCATAGTTTCATAGATGTCGATTTTCGAAAGAAACCAGAACATGTGTATTATTTGGTATATTTTTCATTTTATTGATTTTATGGAAAGCACTGTTCATTAAAATGTTGTATCCTATGTTATAAGGTTGGTTATAAAAAGAGAGAGAGAGAGAGAGAGAGAGAGAGAGAGAGAGAGAATAGTTTTTTGTTATTTATTTAGGTTCTTTTTGTGAGGTCTGATGATGCTCGTATGAGCGAAACACGTGTCACTCTTTAATATTATATAAACGTTGAGACCGAGACTTTGAGTCTTTTTTCTACCTTTTTTGTTTTAAAGATGTTTAAAGGGTGTTTTAAAGAAAACAGCTTGCTAAAAAATTCATGGAAATAGAGCTAAAAATAACAAAAATATAACACTTCAAATTTAACCAAAAAATTCTCCGTTGCGTTTATTTTGCATCTCAGTGTATGTAAATATTTTCAATACTGCCCACAATAGCCTACCACATTCAGTTAGACGGTTATATTACCTTCATATGAATTCAAGTGACTTAACTCATGTGAACGCACCTTTATGATATACAGTCAAAAATTAACTCTTATTATTTATTCATTTTTTAACTACATTCTTTATTAATTCAATACAAAAAAAGCTTTTACAAATACCTAATAAATTAATTGACATTTGTTACATTCACCATAATTCCTCCATCAACTGTGGGAATAAAATTGTTCGTAACATATTTGGGAGGGTATGGAGTACTTGAATGAAGCGTGTACCTATAATTTCTTAAAAGTACTGCCAATCCTACTTTTGATTCCATCATTGCAAATCTTAAACCTGCAAATTGTATGATATATCATAATTGTATTTTCCTCTTGTAATAACGATGCGTATATTTTCAATATTGATAAAAATAGCAACTAATTTATAGATTTAGAATTTTTTTTTAGAATTTTGGTTTGGTTTCAACAATCCTTGCAGGGAAGATTGGGAAGTGGCCAAGCTAGTAATAACAGAACAAAAACTGAAATGGGCGATCGACACCTTTCAGCCCTATAAAGCAGCAGGAGTGGATGGGATCTTTCCTGCCCTTCTAAAGGAAGGTCAGCAAATAGCTACTCACCATCTGCTAAGCATTACAAGAAGCAGTCTAGCGATGGGATATATACCAACCACATGGAGAAGAGCAAAAGTAATCTTCATACCCAAAATAGGCAAAACTGACTGGACAAATCCCAAGTCATTTAGGCCTATTTGTCTCACATCGTTCATACTAAAAACGCTGGAGAAAGTAGTTGACAACCATATTGGAGAAAATCATCTAAAGGTTAAACCACTGCATGATAGTCAGCATGCATATAGAACGGGCAGATCCACAGAAACTGCTCTGTACCAATTAACGGAGCTAATACAGACAAGTCTGGATAGCAAAGAAACAGCAATTTGTGCCTTCTTGGATATTGCGGGGGCGTTTGACAATATACCACATAAGGTGGTCAGGCGATCTCTAGAAACAAGAGGGGTGAACAGAACTATTATTCGCTGGTTTTGGGAAATGCTGTCAACACGAACAGCAGAGGCTCAGATGGGCACCAAAACTGTAGCTGTTAAAACAACGCAAGGAACTCCACAAGGTGGAGTAACCTCCCCTTTGCTGTGGAGCTTGGTGGTGGATGAACTACTAGATGAATTAACTCTAGCGGGAATACACTGCATTGGGTATGCAGATGACATAGTCATGATCGCTCGGGGGAAACATGAAGGCACCTTGTGTGATATTATCCAAAGAGGACTCCGTATCACTGAGAGATGGTGTAGGACTGTCGGGCTGAGTATCAACTCAGACAAAACCGCGATAGTGCCATTCACCAGAAGGCGAAGTCTGAAAAACTTGAAAAGAATCCAACTAGATGGAAAGGAAATACTGCCAACACAGGAAGTTAAATACCTGGGAATAACCCTGGACAGTAAACTCCTGTGGAACAGGCATATTAAGAACACTACCAGCAAAGCCATAAAGGCTCTCATGATATGCAGAAGACTGGCCGGAAATAGATGGGGCTGCTTCCCTAACATTTTGCGCTGGATGTATACCATGATAGTAAGACCCATGATTACTTATGGAGCAGTTGCCTGGTACACAAAACTAGAGCAACGGACGGCAAGGCTAAACCTATGCAAAGTCCAGAGACTAACATGCGTTTGCATCACAGGAGCCATGAGAACCTGTCCAACAGCAGCAATGGAGGTCATTCTAGATCTAACACCACTGCACATTGTCATTGGTAGATATGCCAATGCGACATTGATTAGAATGGTCACTAACGGAATTAGTACTGGGAGAATTGTCAGATCAGGGGCTTGGAACACCCTCATAAAGGAAATACCACTCCTGCAACTCCCAGTGGACGATATGCTAAGAACGTACAACTTTGAGAAACATCTCCATGTAGTATTGAGCAATAAAAAGGATTGGAAGAGCGAAACGCTTGCCCAGCAGTTAAAAGACCATACCATAACTTGGTATACTGATGCTTCCAAAACCAATACGGGAACAGGGATCGGAGTGTTTGGGCCGAGAGCTAAATACTCCGAACCAATGGGCACTTACCCTAGTATCCTACAGGCAGAAATCTACTCTATCGAAAGATGCGTACAACTTATCTTAGATAGGAACTATCGGAAACAAGAAATAGCCATCTTGTCTGATAGTCAAGCAGCGTTAAAAGCGATCAACTCAGTATCAATCAATTCGAAATTGGTCAAAGAATGCATTAGAAGCTGAATAAATTAGGCAAAGAAAACAAAGTCCTCCTATTCTGGGTGCCTGCTCACCAAGGGATAGAAGGCAATGAAAAAGCAAATAATCTAGCTAGGAAAGGAGCGAACACTCCACTAACTGGACCAGAACCGTTCTGCTTTTCAAGTGGTAACCAACTCAAGGCGGAACTCAAGAACTTGGAAGATTCCATCCGCAACCTGGAATGGAAATCTTGCAACGGTCTAAGACACTCGAAGAAGTTTCTGAGGGCTTATGATCAAGAAAAATCACAGATCTTCCTGGGTTTAAGTAAGAACAATCTTCGGATTGTCACGGGGTTTTTAACAGGACACTGTCTCCTCAATGAACACGTCAGTAGATTGAAACTAAGAAGAAACGGCGAATGCAGATTCTGTGGGGAAGATGGGGAAACACCAGAACACCTCATCACTGAGTGCGCCGAGACGACAACCATTCGTGCCATGAATTTTGGTACGACTGATATTGGAGATGGAGAACTACCCTCTATAAAACCGTCCCAGATACTGGCTTTTGTCAAAGCCCTGGGACTGTATGATGAGTTATGACTCAAGAAAGGGGGACACAATGGATCTGTAAGGTCGCAGTGATTAACCCCCCTCCCACTCATTCTAAATTCTAAACTAATTTATAGATACTCACCTAAACATTGTCTTGGACCATCTCCGAACGGTATATAAGTATACGGATTAATTTTGTGTTTATTTTCAGGACTAAATCTATCAGGATTAAATTCAGTTGGATTAGGGAAGTAATCTGGATCATTGTGAATTCCCCACACTGGTATTTTTAAAGATGTACCCTTTTCAATAACGACATCAGAGTTCGGGATTTTATAGTTTTTGGTGCACGTTCTGGGGAGAATAGCTAAAGGTGGATACATACGTAGAGTCTCTGGAAAAGATATTTTTTTATTATTTATTAACTATACGTAGGGTTCCCATACAATTTTTTGGAAATTTCGGACAAGTGACCTCTGCAATCCGGACAAAATATTTAGAAATGGAGAATGATAGTGAGAGTTTAATAACAATTAGATTTTTAGGCCATTTTTTCAAATTCTGACACAATCTGCGACTTTTTTCAGTCTGGACACATTAAGAAATCCGGACATATCCGGGTAAATCTGGACGTATGGAAACCCCTAATTACAGGATGACCCAAGCTTTATGTTTGCACTTAAAACAAAATTCCCAAGTTGTTATTCTAAGAGCTACAAATGCCCGACGCACTATTACAGGATCCTGTATAAATTAGTACCTTTAATAACAGATTCGCAATAAATCATTTCCTGAAGCGCATCGTACGACATTTTACCATTATGTCTTTGCAACACTTCTCTTATTTCTTCTCTTAATTTATCCTGAATATCTTGATGTTGAGTAAGTTCAAGTAACGCGAACGACATTGTTGTTGAAGATGTTTCATATCCGGCTGAGAAAAAGAGGAGAACTTCCCCCACAAGATCTTCAAATGATATACCGTCTAAAAATACAGTAAATAGGTATAGAAAAATTGTTAATTTCTAAAATTGCATAGCGGGACTTTCAAATTCGACTCTCACCATGGGACCTAGGAAACGGTAAGAGATACGGGGTGGGTTAAATTTGAGCAATATTGCCTGTTAAGATTGATTTTCATGCGTCTGTTATCCGTTAATAACGATGGTACGACGCGACGCTCGGATTGGTCATAACGACGAGCTTCCGAAAAAACGCTTAAACACGTATATATTTATTTTGTTTTTTTACACATTTCAAGATTTTTTAAAAATATATACAGGGTGTTTCGAAAAATCTGGTCATTGATTAATCACGATCCTGCTTAAAGCGCTTGACGTAAAAAGCTGATTTTTGGAAAACAGATTGACTTTAGGGTGTAAAGGTTCGATCAGAAGGGATTTTTCGAAACTCGAATTCTAAGGTGGTGAAACTATTCCTCAAATATTAAAATATTTTTTATTGAAAAAAAAACCGGTGAGTTTTTCGGAAAATCTCTTAAACCACGTATATTTTATTTTGTTGTTTTACATATTTTAAGATTTTTTATAAATTTATACAGGGTTTTTCATAAAATATAACCATGAGTAATCACGATTCTGCTTAAACTGCTTGACGTTTAAAGCTGATTTTTGGCAAACGGATTGACTGTGGGGTGTAGAGATTCGATAAGGAGGGGTTTCTTGAATCTCAAATTCCAAGAGGGTGAAAACGTCCCTCAAATATTACAATATTTGTTATTTAAAAACGGTTAGTCTTTCGGGAAAACGCTTGGACAAGCATAATTTATTTGTTTTTTTTACATATTTTGAAATTTTTTAAAAAACCATACAGGGTGTTCCAAATAGTTGGGTAATTTCTTAACCACGATTCTGCTTAAACTGCTTGACGTAAAAAGCTTATTTTTGGCAAACGGATTTTTCGAAAGTCAAATTCCAACGAGATAAAACTACCCCTCAAATATTACCAAGTTATATAATAATATCCCCATATTGTTTTTTCTCATGCTGACATAAATTTGAGAAAATTTTATCCAGTTTGTATGTTAATGGAAATTCTTGCTTTGCTTTATCATCACCATTACAAATGATTAATTTGACGCGATCGAAGTCGCTGGTACACGTTAGTAAACTTATAAAAAATTAAATTAAAAATCCAGCTCTCCAAGATTTAAAAACAAAACGAAGTTGAGGATCCTAGAAACCATCTTAAAGTGACATTTAAGGTCAGAAACGAATAAAATTAATTTAATTGTAGATTTTTTTAACTGCCAAAATAAACTCGAAAAACGAAAACGGAAAATTTGAGTTTTTTCGAAAATATTTCCAGAAATGATAAAGATAAGATCGATTACCAAACCAATTACCACTGGGCTCACTAACAGGCAACTTTGTCCCTATTTAAACAACCCTGTATCTCCTGCCGTTTCTGGCATCCTAGTGATAGTGGTGAGAGCGGAATTTAAACACTCGGTATTATTGTCCTTTGACAGTTTTTTTGTAAATGTCATCATTTTCATTGGTAAACTCTGTAATTGCGCCTTTGTTTTTTAACTGAATCATGAGATGAATAAAGTCCTTTCTGATCACTTTGTTTTCTTCTCTGTAGGTTACGGTAGCTTTAATAACTTTTCTAAAAAAAAATAGAAAAATATAATAAACTTTCTTTTCTATTTTTCAATAAACTTATTGTTTGTTTAGATATTCTAATTAAAAGTCTGAACAGGTGTCCAAAATTTCAGAGGGTGATTGTATTGTTACTGTAAAAAGTCCGTATCATGTGTTCTAAAATGCTTTGTTTTCGAGATACAGAGCATTTTTTATTAACAGAGCATTACAGATTAAGCAACTCTTTTCACCGTTAAGGGCCATTTTTCGATAAAAAAATATATTCGTCAATTTTTGCCAGTGGTGTTCGTAAGGGGAAACGAATATTTGGCTTGGTACCCACCATTTTTATTAAGATAAAAATTAAACATAACATTATTTTTAGCATGCCCATTGATTTTAGAACAAGTTATGTCTCTTGGCTTTTATTGTCGGATGCACGGTCTTCCAATAAAAAAATAAAAACCATTTCAATATACAGGGTTGTTCACCACATACGACACGGAGTATTGTAGCTAAACGATTAGATTTTTACAAATTGTAAGTTTTGGGTTCGATGAAGGACTATTAGAGGTACAATTTAAAAATAATTTTACAAGATACAGAGTGTCCCAAATAAGTAAAAAATATCAAAGTTGTATTTTTTTAAATAGAATACCCTGTATATTATTACATTTTTAGTTTCTACGATTAAAATAAAGGTAAATTTGATTAAGGTTTATTATATTTAAACCTTACCGTTTTTGAAATATTTTCAAATTTGTGAAATTGCAGTAAAAATTTTAAGGCTTCATTTCTCCAAGGGTATCAAAGTTTTTAATACTAAATATTTACTGAAGTTTATTTACTGATCAGTTATTGTGTTGCAATAATAAAAATAATACTACCTTATACAGAGTGTCTAAAATTTATTTTAAATAATTATTAGCTTCAAACGGCAATAACTTGTTTAATTTAAATGGAACACCCTGTATATTTTACGAGAATCAGATGCACAATTTAATTATCTATCAAATTATATTATACCATTTTTTTCCTATCTCTTTAAGTTTCCGTAGAAAATGCATTTTCTTGTAATTTAGAACTTATTTATCAATATACCCATGGACTATTGACATTTTAGATTATTTTTAAAGATGTACCAAATTTCTAAAGAGTACAGATACTAATATTGTCGATATAATTCGTTTATTTCATTAAAAAATAAAAAAAAAACTGTTTAAATATTTGTTAAAGAGGATCAATTAATATGATTCCAGTATTCAAACTACATTAACTGACTGTTTGCGTTGATTAATAATAATTGCTCCAAATACTAAAAAAACTGAATTTTGTATGGGCAATAGACAGTGTGATAAAAAGTAACACCTTAAAAATTATATTTCATTTTTTAATAAATGCTTATTTATAACAACAGAGACTAATTTGATAACTTATTATTATATTGATTTCTTACTCAAATCCACATTTATTTATAATAATTTATAAACGAACACAATTAAGTATGTAATTAATTTGTATATGGGCGGAAATAATGGTGTTATATTTAATTAATGGTATACTCTTTTATAAAGATTTAAATAGTTTTCTTTTTGCATACAAATGGGCTAGTAATATTATCGTTTTGCTAAAAACGATAATATTACTAGCCTGTACATTTTGTACATTTGTTGCTTTAAACACAATCTCAAATGTCAATATTCCATGGGTATATCGATAAATGAGGTCTAAATTATAAGAAAATACATTTTTTACGAAAACTTGAAGAGATAGGTAAAAAATGGTATAATACAATTTGATAGACAATTTAATTGTGCATCTGATTCTCCTAAAATATATAGGGCATTCCATTTAAATTAAAGAAGTTATTGCCGTTTGAAGCTAATAATTATTTAAAATAAACTTTTAGACACTCTGTATAAGGTAGTATTATTTTTATTATTGCAACACAATAACTGATCAATAAATAAACTTAATTAAATATTTAGTATTAAAAACATTGATACCCTTGGAGAAATTAAGCTTTAAAAATTTTACTGCAATTTCACAAAATTGAAAATATTTCAAAAACGGTAAGGTTTAAGTATAATAAACCTTAATCAAATTTACCTTTATTTTAATCGTAGAAACTAAAAATGTAATAATATACAGGGTGTTCCATTTAAAAAAATACAACTTTGATATTTTTTATTTATTTGGGACACTCTGTATCTTGTAAAAATATTTTTAAATTGCAGCTCTAATAGTCCTTCAACGAACCCCAAACTTACAATTTGTAAAAATCTCATCGTTTAGCTACAATACTCCGTGTCGTATGTGGTGAACAACCCTGTATTTGATGAAATTGGAAAAATCTGATATGGTGTTTTGTATGTCTTCGTTCTTCTTCTTCGTCCGTTCTACTTCTTCGTTACCAAGTCCTGTGTTTTCTTCAATGGTTCCCTAAGAACAGTTCGGATGAAGAAGACCAGCTTTCATACCACCTTATAGGTGGTCGCGCAGGCGGTCGGTGGGGGCGTGTTCGGTCTTTTCTCCTTAGCAATTTTCGCTAGCCGGTCGTTTGGTATCTTGTCCACATGGTCTCTCCACTCTTTTTTCTTGTTTCTTACCCTAGATCTTACTACATCCTGTATTTCACATGTTTCTTTTATATCTTCATTTCTTTTTCGGTCATATAAGGTATATCCTAAAATTGATCTAAGTGTTCGCATTTCTGTTGTTCTAGGAACCGTTTTGTTATTGATGTTTGGGTTTTTAATTCCTACTTGAGATTCCTAGTGCTTGTTATTTTTGTCGCTAGATATTTGAATGACACCACTTGTTCTATATATACAGGGTGAGTAATAAATAAGTGCAAATATTTTTAAGGGTAGTATATTTTGACCCCAGAAACACGATTATGAGTTTTTTTTCGCAAAAAAATTAAAATTTGGAATTTTTGGATTTTTTTTTAGATTTTAGTTAAAAATACAATTTCGCGATAATATGGCAACATAAGTAATCGATTAAATTTACAAGAAAGGAAACCCAGAATAGATCCAGCGGTTCAGAAATTTAAGTAAAAAAAATCATTTCTTTTTTGAAAATTTCAAAGTAAAATAACTTGGTTAATTTGGATTTATCGAGATATTTTTTATCGAGATCTAACAGTCCTGAAAATATTTGTACTTATTTAATACTCACCCTGTATAATACAATTTTTTTTCTTAAAACTTTGAAACACTGTATGTCAAAAACGAAGCATTTTAGAACACATGATTATATGAACTATTTTTTCTTAAAAATATTTGAAAAATTACTCTTTAAAATATCGGACACTTATTCCGAAACAGTCTGTATAATGTTGTTAATAAATTACCTAAAGAAATTTTCTATTCCAGAAAAGTCCATGGGCATCGCTCTTTGAACCAAACCAAGTATCAATAGAAGTTTTTTAAAAAATGAAATTTCTGTGCTAGTTTTTCGGAATATTTCTTGGCCTTTTACGAAAAATTCGGACGTTTCATCCTCTATAGAATTGCATTCGATTCCAAATCCACAACTTCCTAAAAAATACCAGCAGTAATAATCACTAATAATCAGTTTTATATTATTATATCATATGCCATTTTTCGTGACGAGATTCCTCACATAAAAATAAGATTTATTTTTCATATCAACTTAGGTCCGGTTCTGCTTTATTTTGTAGCTACAGAGTTTTAAAGTCTTAATAATCTTTCGAGTTATTATAATTTGCTTCCAAGTACTTTTAGTGATTCGAATGAAAGTGCTACATATTTTAATGCTAAAAAAAGTGTCGATAAATTCATCATAGACATGCATATGGGTTATCCCTGGAATATTTTTCAAAAAAAAACATGTGCGCCACTGACTTTTCTTCTTTTGATATAAAATTGTGTAGACCGTTTATTGTATGACAATTAAAAGTTATCTCGTGATATTTTGTCGAATTCGGCCTCCTTGATAAGATAAACGCAATTTTATTAATCACAGCTATTAATAAAATTAATAAATTAAATATTTTACCTAAATTATTATTAAATATTATTTCTATTAGTTGTTATTACTATTTTTCCAACCTACAGCAATTTCAAATAAAAAAATAATGGTATTTAAGATAATAAAAAAAATTAAAAGTGGTTTGCTCCACAGCTTTCGACTGCATCTGCGGCAGTCTTCATCAGTGGCGTAGAGGTCGAGGGCGCAGTGAACGACTCGAGGACTGGTCTGGTACTGATACGGAGGGGAGGGGTTGTGAACTGTGAACCTCTACACATCACTGAGGAATTAGAGCACCTAGACAGAGCCTTACAAGCAGGTGGATGACACTTCTTATGGGAGAACTGGAAATGGTTGAAAACTTGACTACAAGCGATTTTCTAGGAATCTTCCTTACCGATAAATTATTGACAAGAGTGACAGATAAAACCTTGACATTCTTTCAGTATAACTGTTCATCTCTAAAACTCAAGTTCAAAACTAAAGTGTGCGTTGAAAGGAGACAAAAGCAATTTTTTGCAATCCATAATTTGTTATTCGAACACCACATTTCTCCTTGTCGGGTCGTTGACGTTGACTTGTCGCCATTTTATTTCTTTTGTTTACACGCTGCAGTTTGCTTTGTAAATTGAATACATAAATTATTTAGGCAAATATAGGTTTTTGATAAAACTCCTTGGATTAACGTGTAGGTAAGTGTTGATAAATAAGTTTTTTTTCATCTTAACATGCTCATTGTCATTCTCCTGATTTAGGTGACAGAAAAGGGTCATCAAATCAAATTGAATTTTATATTTTTTCATCCCAGGACCGATAATAAAATATATATTTTATGGATACCTTCCTAAATATCAACGAGATGAGCCATCGGAAGAAAGGGACCATAGTACAAAACAGAAGGGTGATCTTTTTCTTTCCACTTAGGATATTGAAATTATTATATACTGTAGTCGTGTTCTGGCATTATGCTCTGAGAAATATAGATAAACAAAGAACAACAGATATAAAGCATCTCAGAGGAAAAGAGAGGCAATACCTGTACTCTCTCTCTGATATTTGTGAAAGTTACGGCAAAGTATTGTTGTAAATGTCATCTTTTAATCGACCTGAAAACTTCGAGCAAAAAGATGACACTTTCAACAATACCCTGACAGATATCAGAGACGATACAGGTTCTTCCTCTCTTTTCCCCTGGAATACTTTTAATTTATTATTATTTGTTTATCTAGATTTCTAAGAGCACTATGAACGAACTCAGCTTGTATGTTTGAAATAATCGTCCAGCTGGCTTAAAAATGATGATCGATGACATTTCCTATATAATTCATAGATGGCTTCATTTCTAAGCCATCTATGACGCCATTTTTTTTAGTTTTGTTATAATTAATTTTGTCTCTTGATCTACTTGTGACATTATTCTTTTAATTTTATTAATTTATTTTGTTGAAATTAATTTCTGTTGTATATTAGATAATGATATTAAACATATTTTTAAAAAATGGTGTATTTTTTGTGTTTTTATGTATGTCATAATTAAAAATAAATGAAGAATTAAATTTTTTTATTTTTTTAAAGTTCCCGCCATGCGTTACAATCTAGTCCGTAGTTTCTACAAGCGATATTGGGGGCGCTAGTAGCAGTAGACTTGTCAACAGTGTCAAATTTAAACGTCAATTTCACTTTCCAATATTTAGCAAGGCGCTCGCACTTCTCCTTGTGTATGTGTTTTGTGCTTACAAGCCAATGGATACCGAGAGCAGACGATCAGACGAGCCATAAGACCTAGGAGACCTGTTGAAAGGCAAGAGGGAGAAAATACACCTCCCAGTGGGGTAGCATTGCTTCCATACATCAGAGCAGGGGCACATATACGGGAGGGGTAATGGGGGTAATTACCCCTCCCAGAAAGAAATTAATTTATTTTAATTATTTCTTTCGAAAATCGACATCTATGAAATTATGAACCCTTCCTGGACACAAACGGTACATTGTGAGACAGGAAATTGTAGAGAGAAACAAGCCCTATAACATAGGATACAACAGTGCTTTCCATAAAATCAATAAAATGAAAAATATACGAAATAATATACATGTACTGATTTCTTTCGAAAATCGACAACTATGAAACTATGATCCCTTCCCCGACACAAACGGTATATTGTGAGACAGGAAATTGTAGAGAGAAACGAGCCCTATAACATAGGATACAACATTTTAATGAACAATGCTTTCCATAAAATCAATAAAATGAAAAATATACGAAATAATATACATGTACTGATTTCTTTCGAAAATCGACAACTATGAAACTATGATCCCTTCCCGGACACAAACAGTACATTGTGAGACAGGAAATTGTAGAGAGAAACAAGCCCTATAACATAGGATACAACATTTTAATGAACAGTGCTTTCGATAAAACCAATAAAATGAAAAATATAGGAAATAATATACATGTACTGATTTCTTTCGAAAATCGACAACTGTGAAATTATGATCCTTTCCCCGACACAAACGGTACATTGTGAAACAGGAAATTGTAGTGAGAAACAAGTCCTATAACATAGGATACAACATTTTAATGAACAATGCTTTCCATAAAATCAATAAAATGAAAAATATACGAAATAATATAACATGTACAGGGTGGGTCAAATTCGACGCTTTTAAATGGAAACACCCTTTTCTGTAGGAGATAGACAAAAACTAATATCGGTGTCTGGAGCTCAATTTTTGTCAAAAACATGCTGGTGAAAACAGCATATCGATATCTGTTACCGTTTCGGAGTTACAGGGTGTTTTTCAAAAATATGCATTTTTAACAAATCTCTGTAACTTTTTTGCTCTGGAAAATTTTGTATTTTTATGAAAACGTTTCCAAAGCACCTTTTTATGTAGAATTTAATGGTTTAAGTATAATTTTTTTAAAATTAATAATTTAAGAATTATCAACAGAAAATTTGTTTTTTTATATGGGACACCATGTATATTTTTAATTTATTGAAAAGAATTTAAAATTACCTTTCCAAAAATATAACACACTTGATATCTTGCTCGATTCCTCTTCGAGATATAGAGTAGGTATATAAAAATTCGGCCGGCTTTAAATACGTAGGCTTTGAACGGCACCGGCTGTAATGCAAAAAAATTCTAGCTGTGAGCATCAATCAAAACGAAAATAATATTTGCTATGAGACATGCAGAATTTTATAACAATTTAGAATATATTTAACCAACATCAACACATTTAAACTATATCTAATAACAATAAAAATAAATAGCAAACCAAGACATGAGATTTTGCTACAGGTGTTCGACATATCGACCGTCTTCTGTTATGGACAGACGGGGCAGTTTTGAAAATTTCTCGCGGAATTCATAAACTCAGTGGTGGTGAAAGATACCCTCTTATAACTGCTAAGTATATTTAATTCTTGTCTAGATTATACGGAAGAATAAGTAACCTTTATTCTTCCGCAAATATATCCATAAGATTAGATCCATGGGCACTAAGTCAGGCGGCCTCGACGGCCAACGGCTGGGATCTTGGTTAGCTATCCAATTATTCTTGAAATTGGCTACAAAAATTTGCTGATAACTTCAGCGTTCAGAGGCGGTGCGTCGTTTTGCTGGAAAAATATGTTTTCGAGTTCCATTAAGGGCATATCATCAATAAGGGGTCCAAAGCCTACTAGTTAAAAGTGGCGAACTTTTAAAAATTCTGTATTTCGAAGGGGATTATAACAAAATATCAAGTGTGCTATATTTTTGGAAAGGTAATTTTAAATTCTTTTCAGTTAATTAAAAATATAGAGGGCGTCCCAATTAAAAAATCATTTTTTCTGTTGATAACTCTTAAATTATTAATTTTAAAAAAATTATACTTAAACCATTAAATTCTACCTAAAAAGGTGTTTTGGAAATGTTTTTATAGAAATACAACATTTTCCATAGCAAAAAAGTTACAGCGATTTGTTAAAAATGCACATTTTTGAAAAACACCCCGTAACTGCGAAACGGTAACAGATATTGATGTGCGGTTTTCACCATCATGTTTTTGATGAAAATTGAGCTCCAGTCACCGATATTAGTTTTTGTCTATCTCCTATAGAAAAGGGTGTTTCCATTTAAAAGCGTCGAATTTGACCCACCCTGTACTGATTTCTTTCGAAAATCGACAACTATGAAACTATGAACCCTTCCCGGACACAAACGGTACATTGTGAAACAGGAAATTGTAGAGAGAAACGAGCCCTATATTTTATTTCCAATAAAAATAGTATTTCCAATAAAAATAAAGCTAAGTCATTTTCAAAATGACTTAGCTTTATTTTTATTGGAAATATTCGTTTTTAAAAAAAGACACTAACATTTTTCGTATCTATTACATTAAGACCATGCCTTTGCTTTTGGGCCTAGTCAACACATCTAGTAAGTGCTGGTTCCGAAGCAGGCTTTCTTGACATAAGATTTGCTTCATTTAATCTTTTATAGTCTGATAGTTAATATATGTACATTCCTTAAGTGCAATTCATTATGAATTTGAAAAGCTGGCAAACGGCGGTTTCTTAGCGATAAACTTACAATAAGTGGATCGTCTCGATTAGAAGTTCTCAGACGAAGGTTCCTGGACGTCTTGATTGACGTTCATGGACGTGGTCATAATTCAAGAACCACTTAGTATACTTTATGGTAAAATAAAACACTAAATCACCACAATACACCAAAACACTTTTACTTTTACACTGGACGCGCGTTTCGCTAACCATGATAGCATCATCAGCAGATGATTATAAACTGTTTATAAGCAGTTTATATGTACTGTTAAAAGGTATTATAACTGTGGAAAAAATCTACTTGGATTGGTTTGGATATTCTGTTTTAATTTGTATTATTAACTTTTTTGTAACAATTTTATTTTATACCAAATTTCATCTTGTTAATTAATTTCTTTCTGGGAGGGGTATTACTCCCATTACCCCTCCCGTATATGCGCCCCTGTATAGGGCTCGTTTCTCTCTACAATTTCCTGTTTCACAATGTACCGTTTGGGTCCGGGAAGGGTTCATAGTTTCATAGTTGTCGATTTTCGAAAGAAATCAGTACATGTTATATTATTTCGTATATTTTTCATTTTATTGATTTTATGGAAAGCATTGTTCATTAAAATGTTGTATCCTATGTTATAGGACTTGTTTCTCTCTACAATTTACATGGATGAAAAGTGAATTATAATTCTTAATTCAGTTTTCGAAATATGACTTAAAATCAAATGATTTAACACATTAAAACGATTTAAGTCAAAAAAAGACTTAAGATTTCTGTGAGCGTGCAGCGCTGCTTTCAGCTTTTCGAGATGCCAGAAATAGATTGGAAAAACGTCAAGTAAAATTAAATAGTTTTAATTAAAGAACCTCACAATGACCTCCAAAAACAAAAGTTAACTAAAGTGTTTTAAAGGAAAGGTTCAATGACAAATAATAACTTCTTCTTCTTAAAGTGCCTTCTCCATTCAGTGAAGATCGGCAACAACCATGGCAAATTCCTCTCTATTTTTCGCTCTTCTCAGCAAAGTATGTGAGTCCAGGCCTGTCCAATCTCTGATGTTCTTTAGCCAGGAGCATTGCCGTCGTCCGGGTCCGCGCTTTCCCTCAATTTTACCCTCGATGATGAGCTGAATGAATTCATACTTGCTAGTCTCATGATATGGCCCAAATAGGCTGCTTTCCTCTTTTTTATTATGTCGAGGAGTTCTCGGTCCTTGTTCATTTGGTTTAGAACTCGTTCATTCGAGACACGGTCAGTCCATGGTATTCTCAGCATTCTGCGATATACCCACATCTCAAATGCTTCCAACTTATTCATTGCGCTTACTTTGAGTGTCCACGACTCAACCCCGTAGAGAAGTGTGGAAAGTACGTAGCACTTGACGAAGTTGTCTTTTATATGGATGTTGAGACGTTTATCGCACAGTAGGTTCCGCAATTTTAGGAAGTTTGATCTAGCCATCTCAATTCGAGCTCTGATCTCAATGTCTGGGTTTAGGTCTTCACTAATCCAACTGCCCAAATATCTAAACTTTGAGACTCTTGCTATTGGTGTCCCACCTACGACTACCTCCGTTGCCTGTCTTGCATCTCTATTTATCACCATGACTTTTGTTTTGTTTGTATTTATCCTGAGACCCATTGAGTCGCCCACCGAGGACAGTCTATCAAGAAGTCTTTGCAGGCCCTCAGTGGTGTCTGCAATAACGACGGTATCATCAGCATATCTCATGTTGTTAATCAGCCTGCCATTCACTTTTATGCCGTCTTCTGATCCCTCAAGCGCATTTCGAAATATTAGTTCGGAGTACATATTGAAGAGCATAGGGCTCAATACGCATCCTTGCCTAACTCCACGCTTGATAGGTATTGCTGTTGTTTCAGTGTCCTGTAGTTTTACTGTCGCTACTTGTTGTTCGTATAGCTTTTGGATAATTTTCAGGTCTTGGGTATCCAGGCCTCTTCTTTCAAGGATGCTCAGCAATTCCCTGTGGTTGACGCAGTCGAATGCCTTCGTGTAGTCTATGAAGCATAGGTGTACCTCCTTTCGTTGATCTCTGCACTTCTGCAAAAGCACCGATAGCGCAAACAGGGCTTCTCTCGTCCCCAGTCCCTCGCGAAATCCCATTTGCTGTTCACTTATGTCTAACTCACATTTTCTTCGGATTCGATTATGCAGAACCTTTAAAAACAGCTTTAGGACTTGACTCATCAGACTTATTAAACGAAACTCATCACATCTTTTTGCACCAGTTTTTTTAGGAATAGGTATAAATGTCGACCTTAGCCAGTCCTGCGGTATGTTTCCGGTATTGTATACAGAATTGAAGAGGTTTACCAATAACTTTAAATTGTCTTCGTTTATTAGTTTTATCAATTCTGGGTAGATGTTGTCCGGTCCAGCTGCTTTCCCGTTTTTGGTGTTCTTCAGTTTCTATTTGGGAGTGAAAAGAGGGGCCACCGTCATCGAACAGTTCCCTTATGTAATTAGTCCATACCTCCTCTAGTTTTTGTTCGGTTAGGATTGGTTGATTCTCACCGTCCACGATTCTGGTACATGTTCGAGGTTTGTGTTTCCCAGTGACTTCTTTGACTTTTTTATGTAGGTTAAACAAGTCATGTTTTTGGTGGAGCTCCTCAACTTCGCGGCACCTCTCCGTCATCCACAGTTCTTTGGCTTCTTTGTTTTTATTTCTGATAAGCCTGTGAGTGTCTCTATATCTCTGAGGGTCTGTGCCTTTAAAACTTCGCCGCTTTTCCATGAGGTCTAAAATTTCTTTAGTCATCCACGCTTTATGGTGCTTCTCGTTATTATTTGTTGTTAGTTGTTCTTGTGTTTCCTGCAGCGCTTCTTTAATTTTCTTCTTAAACATTCTTAAACAATAACTAGTGTGTTTAAACGCATTAATCATAGAAAATAAATAAAATCTAAGGCTATAATGTGTATGTTTACTTATTCTATTATATAATTAACTTTACCTATAACATCTGTCGTGAACCTAGCAATGATTCCTTTAATCTCGACTGGTTTGGAAGTTTGGGCAACTTTATCAATCAACTTGGACAAACTGTCTGCTTTTTCTAATAAGGTATCTAACATTACCTTCATTTTTCCTATACAAATTTAAAATTAGCTAGTTGATCACAAAATCTGTAAGTACTTACCTGTTGTAAACACAGGCGTCATTTTCCTCCTCATATCTTTCCAATCGTTTCCAGTCATATGAAATAAATTATTAAAAAACAGTCTCTTTGGTATATTTGCAAAATGACCATCAAAATAGTCATAGTCTTTTGTAGTGACAGTCTTGACGAGCTCAGGATCTAATGGCATCCATACGGGTCTGTTTCCAACGTATACACCTGCGTAAATTCTAGTTTTATATAGTACAAAAATAACTCTAAATTAGGGATCGGCAAGACAAGAAATCTTGTCCTGACAAGCAATTTCTTGTCTTGTCTTGAAATATTCTCAAGAATTAAAAAAAAATTGTCTTGACCATTTCTTGAGAGCTGATTTCTTGTCTTGATTCAAGAAATCTTGAAATTTCTTGATATCTTGACAAAAGGAGAACCCCCGTTTAAAATTCGTTTATTAAAGGGGAACCCCCTCTTTAAAAGTCGCGGTGAGATTGGTTAATGTGATGTTTATGCTTTTACGGAGTCTCATAGTCTCATGTGCCTTAATTCATGGCTCTCAAACACTACTTTTTAGTACTAAGCTTTTTAAGCAGTATTTACCAACCATACATTTTTTTTTAGAAGCTGTTCTTGTTATCGTGTTTTATGTGTTTGCTATTTTGATATGTATTTTTATTATTATTTTTTTTTGCAAAACAAATATTTTTGTACTTGGATATTTATTTTCACGGAAGATTTGTTTAATATATTTGGATTTAGTTGGTAGCCTTAAATGCCTACTTAAATGCCATAATTATTATTATCATGGCTTTTAAATTCCAGCAACTGTTTGTGTTTGTTTTTTGTTTCTCCAATATGTATTTTTTTCTTATAAAACGATAAATATTTTTTATACTTATTGCAGTTTTTTTAAATATCTAAAAAATGTAGTATTATGTGATATGTTATAGCCTAAGATATTCACGGAAAGAAATGAAACAGAAAATATCGCTAGAAAATTGTAGCATTATTATTCTATTGATTTGATATATATTGATGTGATTGTCTACAACTTTTATCTGAAAACTTTTTGTCTAAAATAGCTTATAATGGAATCAAGGACAATTTTTAAAATAGCCGAAATTTGTTTTTTTCGAAATATCTAGTAAGCCATGAACTTTTTCAAAAATCTGAAAGGCGCATATTTATAACCCCACAAAACTGCAATTCTTTCCTCATTTAACCGACTCTCTATCTCCAGTAGTTTCCGAGATACCCATGGAGAACATGGTAGGAAACTCACCCTATATATTAAAATGACAGGCGCAACTGTTACTTGCATGGATCGTTGTACAGGGTGGGTCAAATTCGACGCTTTTAAATGGAAACACCCTTTTCTATAGGAGATAGACAAAAACTAATATCGGTGTCTGGAGCTCAATTTTCATCAAAAACATGATGGTGAAAACCGCACAACAATATCTGTTACCGTTTTGGAGTTACGGGCTGTTTTTCAAAAATATTCATTTTTAACAAATCGCTGTAACTTTTTTGCTATGGAAAATTTTGTATTTTTATGAAAACATTTCCAAAGCACTTTTTTACGTAGAATTTAATGGTTTAAGTATAATTTTTTTAAAATTAATAATTTAAGAATTATCAACAGAAAATTTGATTTTTTATATGGGACACCCTGTATATTTTTAATTAACTGAAAATAATTTAAAATTACCTTTCCAAAAATATATCACACTTGATATTTTGTTATAATCCCCTTCGAAATACAGAATTTTTAAAAGTTCGCCACTTTTAACTAGTAGGCTTTGGACCCCTCATTGATGATATGCCCTTAATGGAACTCGAAAACATATTTTTCCAGCAAGACGACGCACCGCTTCTGAACGCTGAAGTTATCGGCAAATTTCTGCAGCCAATTTCAAGAATAATTGAATAGCTGACCAAGCACCCAGCCGTTGGCCGTCGAGGCCGCCTGACTTAGTGCCCATGGATCTAATCCTATGGATATATTTGCGGAAGAATAAAGGTTCCTTATTCTTCCGTATAATCTAGACAAAAATTAGAAATACTTAGCAGTTATGAGAGGGTATCTTTCACCTCTACTGAGTTAATGAATTCCGCGAGAAATGTTCAAAAACTGCCCCGTCTGTCCATAACAGAAGACGGTCGATATGTCGAACACCTGTAGCAAAATCTTATGTCCTGGTTTGCTATTTATTTTTATTGTTATTAGATATAGTTTAAATGTGTTGATGTTGGTTAAATATATTTTAAATTGTTATAAAATTCTGCATCTCTCATAGCAAATATTATTTTCGTTTTAATTGATGCTCACAGCTAGAATCTTTTTACATTACAGCCGGTGCCGTTCAAAGCCTACTTATTTAAAGCGGGCGAATTTTTATATACTCTATATCTCGAAGAGGGATGTGAAAAATAAAAAATCAATTTTTCTGTTGATAACTCTTAAATTATTAATTTTAAAAAAATTATACTAAAACAATTAAATTCTACGTAAAAAGGTGCTTTGGAAATGTTTGCATAGAAATACAAAATTTTCCATAGCAAAAAAGTTATAGCGATTTGTTAAAAATGCACATTTTTGAAAAACACCCCGTAACTCCGAAACGGTAACAGATATTGATGTGCGGTTTTCACCATCATGTTTTTGATGAAAATTGAGCTCCAGACACCGATATTAGTTTTCGTCTATCTCCTATAGAAAAGGGTGTTTCCATTTAAGAGCGTCGAATTTGACCCACCCTGTACAGGCTTATTTACATTCATAAAGCGCATGTAATCATAACCAAATAAAGATAAAATAATTCAAAGTAGTTGTTATTCACGAGTGTACCAAAAACGAACAAAAAATAACCAAATAGATAAGGGTACTTTCCAACAACATCAGTTCAGTTGATATGAATCATCGTAACTATTAAAATATCATACGTTTTATTGTTTTTGTTTATACAGTTAGATTTCGGGGACATATTTTCAAATTCCTACCGGACACCCCGGACATATCGGTTAAATCCGGACGTATGGGAACCCTAAATAAAGGTAGTACTGTTATAAAGTTACCTCCATGAGAAACTCCCATTTCCTTAAATTTCTTGTACATGTTCAAAGCATCTTCAGGCTCTGAAATCTTGCCTTCTAGACATTTCTTCGTGTCGCCATAAATTGGTATGGGATTTAACTGAGCCACACCCCTTTTTTTCCAGTAATGATACGTTTTGTCGTATTTAACGTAAAGGTACGTTACGGTAACTACAATAGCCGCGAAAATTAAAGTAAGCATTTCGAAAAAGATCTGGAAATCAGAATACAAAACAAGCGCTTAAATAACTGTATTCTGTGTGGGGCGTGGGATATAGGTACTATAGATATGTGCTATTCTAAAATATAGTTTAAAAGATAAGATAAATCAAATTTCCTTTTGTTTATTGTTATCAATTACAATTCGGTTTTAAAGATGCATATCATCATGATTTAGTCTATATCGCCATATCAAAATTCTTATTGCAACTTTATTTACTACGATTAATGAATTACTGTGTATTTTTTATGCTCATTCATTTATAATTTCATTCATTCATATAAGAATGAGTAAACGTTCTTATTTTAAACAATAATCAATTAAAACATTATAAAGATATTTTTATTGGCAGCATCTTCTGCAGATAAAACTACGGAAGAAAGTACTTATAAATGTATTTCCTAAATTACTTGGTGTGTACACCCTGTATTTCTTAAAGTACTTGGAAATATAGGGTGAGGAAATTTCATTTTTATTTCGATTTTTTCTCAATAACTAACGTCGATATTTGAACATTGTGTCTGGGTGTTTTTTTGAGATGATAAATTTGATTTCGATGTCAATATGACTCCTACTTCTACAGGCGCTACCTACATGTTTTTAACCGTTTTGAAGAGTAATACATTTTTGTCCGTACCTGTATTAAAAAAAATACTGAGTAAAAAAAAACATTTTCGTCAGTTTACGTAAAAAATGTCTCTTTGTAAACATCAAAATGAGCAACCGTTTTCAAGATATTTGGAATAAAGTTGTATTTTAAGTGGAACATTAAATGGAACACCTTGTATATTATTACATTTTTAGTTTCTACGATTAAAATAAAGGTAAATTTTATTAAGGTTTAGCACACTTAAAAAACTTACCGTTTTAGAAATATTTTCAATTTTTTTTTTAGTTTTTTTAATTTTTACATTTTGAGGAAAATGGGCATTCGTCATAAAAAATGTGCTTCTTCTAAAATGACTGATCACGTTTATATTTTTCCAAAGTTTGGATATCGGTCCAATCCGCATCCCAAAATCTTTTTTAGTTCGAGAGATATTCAACTTTAAATTTACCCTAAAATTTTGCTTGTCCCGATAATTATGTCCGGCAGTTTATTTGACGTAATTGAAAGAAATCTAACAATTAACCTGTTTGTTTCACTTATTTTTAATGGCCAAGCCGTAAGGGGAGTCCCCTGGTATCGATCCCGTAGATTCCGCACGGTAAATCCCGTAACTTTGATTTGAAGTAGTGGAGTGCCTTAAGTCGTTATGGGATACAAACCTCGGAATTCATTTACTGTGAACGAATTTTTATAAAACTTTTTGCATTGTATTGTTCATAAGATATATTACAAAGTTTACCCATTTAAATTCGTTGCTTTCACTTTAGTTTTTAAAGAAACACACATATACAAATGCATACATACAAGATGGCTCCGTGTTCCGAAAAAGCTCTGTATCAAGATTCCTATTTGAGATTTTCACTCCAAACCTTTTATAAAATATGTGTTTAATGGTAGTTCACATTTCACAAATATTTTTAAAGATATACACGGTGAGTCAAATATATTTTACATATAAGTTTTAAAAAAGTAGAAAAAAGTCTCAAAGTCTCGGTCCTAGTCAACAGATCCAGTATGTTCTGGTCCCGAAGTAGGCCTTCTTGACATAAGATTTGCTTCATTTAGTCTTCTTCTTATAGTCCGTTAGTTAATATGTACGTTTAATAGGTACATTTATAGGTGTTTGAAATGGAGAAAAATATGTGTTACACGTACAAAATAGTTTTTACGTGTAGGTAACAAATAGTATTTTACACATTAAAATTGTTTTTGCGTGTAACAAGTAGTTTTATACGCGTAAATAATTAATAAAAAATATGATTCACTTTCACAAAATTTGAGTAAATAAAAAAAAACATTAGAGAATAATCTATACTAATAATATAAAATCCTGAAGTGACTGACTCACTGATTAATCACGATCCTGCTAAAACCACTCAACGTAAGAAGCTCAATTTTGGCATACAGGTTGACTCTAGGGTGTAGAGGTTCGATAAGAAGAGATTTTTCGAAACGAAATTCCAGTTCCAAGGGGGTGAAACCACCCCTCAAATATTACAATATTTTTTATTTAAAAAAACGGTCAAGTTTCCGCAAAAACCCTTAAACACGTATATTTTATTTTGTTTTTTACATATTTTAAGATTTTTTAAAATTGTATACAGGGTGTTTCGAAAACTCTGGTCATTGATTAATCACGATCCTGCTTAAAGCGCTTGACGTAAAAAGCTGATTTTTGGAAAACGGATTGACTTTAGGGTGTAGAGGTTGGATTAAAAGGGATTTTTCGAAACTCGAATTCTAAGGGGGTGATAATAACAATCCCTCAAATATTAGAATATTTTTTACTTAAAAACCGGTGAGTTTTTCGGAAAAACTCTTAAACACGTATATTTTATTTTTTTGTTTTACATATTTTAAGGTTTTTTAAAAATTTATACAGGGTAGTTCATAAAACATAACCATTGAGTAATCACGATTCTGCTTAAACTGCTTGACGTATAAAGCTGATTTTTGGCAAACGGATTGACTGTGGAGTGTAGAGGTTCGATAAGGAAGGGTTTCTCGATTATTTTTTCTCATGCTGACATAAATGTGAGAAAATTTTATCCAGTTTGTATGTTAATGGAAATTTTTGCTCACCATTCACATGGTACACGCTAGTATATTCATAAAATAATAGGTTGACAACTTAAAGTATGTTGTCACTTGCCTGGTTTTGTTACCTATTCATTTTCAATTTAAAAATAGATGCAATTTTCCTAAAATTAGTTAAAATCGGCTTGTCCAAAATTGTCTATAAAAAACTATTTACGACTTTGCTGTATAATCAATACGGGGAATAAATATTTGGACAGTTCAAAATAATTTGCATGAAATTTTCTACGAGTATGTTTCTAACGCCGGCAACGATGCACCACCGGTCATGGATCATTTTCCAATATACTTTTTCAAAACAGGTGTGTAACATTCTGATAAGATATATCACGCGCGTTTTTTTTCTGTTTGTAATTATTTTTGATAGGTATTATCGAATCATATTCATTATTTTTAGATAATTGGATTAAAAGAATATATTTATAGGAATTGAGAAAAAAATATTTTTCTTTTACTTCATTGAAAGTTACTAGCATCGTTGTATTTTCTAGATATTGTTATCTGATTAGACAGTCTGATAACAGTGGTGTGTATTGCTAATCAATGTAAGGTAGGCAAAAATTGTCAAAATAATAAAATAAAATTAGTATAAGTAATTAGTTAAGTATAATCAATACAATAATTAATTTTTAATTTAAATAGCGGGAAAATTTCCCAGATTTGGCATCACTGCGGAGAACAGCGACGAAGTTAAATCGCGTTGCTTCAATTTTCTATCTCTTCCCAATCTTCACAAATAGAATTCCAATCTTCACAGAAAATTGGGGGGTGCAATTTAAAAAGACCTAAAACTTTATCATAACTTTTTTAACGACATAATGTAGGTATTCAACAAAATATTTTTGGATATGTTCCTTTACAAACCATGCAACATCTGTATTCGGCACATGTCACGACAATATTGAACTTCCTCGCATTAATGGACCACTCTGTATATTTCTAGAACAAAACTGCTTATTGCGAATATGAGTTAATATGTAATGAAATAAAAGAAAGAATAAGTTTATTATTATATTTGCGGTAGGCAACACTGCTAGACAACGCCTTTTTGCCTACATACATTATAAGATAGGAAGTACATTATTTATTTATATTTTTAGAAAGCTCATACCAAAGCAAATAAAATAAAAAAGAATATACAGAGCGAAAAAACTAGTTACGCTACTGGATTCTACGTGAAAAACACTATGGGATTCAGGTTTTCAGTTTTCGATAAGTTATGAGACCCAGACTCGAGGGTAGTCGAAAAATGCAATTCCAAATTCGCCCTGTATCTCAGGAACTAAGAGCAGAAGCATTTCAGGAACTAATAGACGGAGAGCTGGCTACATAAGAAACCTTATCAGCGTTACATGGCTAATTTTTCTTGTGAAGTATCCTTTTGTGTAGTCATTATGACATATTCATGTCTGCCAGCGTGATCCCGGGACTTAACGCGGGGGCGACCAATCAAAAGGATGAAATTTTAACACTAAAAATATTATAAGGTACACGAGTTATAATTGCGAAAATAGCTTTTATTTATTATTAGGAAACGTGGAAAATTGCTGGCAGACATTTTTCTCGTGGCTAAAATGACGGCAGACAACGCGAAAGAGGCATAAAAATTTTGAAAAAAAAATTATGGCATACATTATTTTGAAAGCCGTATGCAAAAGAGCAGACAAAAAGATCGTGGCTAAATTAGCGGCAGTTATCAAAAGCGCGATATTACTCTAGCGCTTTCAGGGAACGCTCCTGAAAGTTTTTTTATCATCGTTACTCTTAAGACTGTAAGAACTAAAAAGTAGCACAGTGCTGTGGTGTGAAAACTGCCTCTTTGTATCTCTATACTCATAAATAGAAAACCTATAAAATAGTGGAATATAATAGTGGAATATAATACAGTCCACCTCCAGGTCTTCACCATACACATTGAAGAATATCTCATGGCTTGGACTGCGTAGTACAAACATTCAGGAAAAACTGTATGTGTATGGCTACCTTTAAATTGAAAAATATCACATATACACCTGTTGAATAACCTGCTTTTTAGTTCGGTAAGACAAATACATCTACCTAGTTTAAAAACATACATTAAATTAGACATTAATTTAAAATCTATCCATTTGTTATAACTATAAGTTGTTCGACCTATTTATCTATCGATTTGAATATCTAACCAGTTACTTTAGCAGACTTAACATTAGCTGTTGAAAATGTGCTTGTTGAAAATATTCTTGCAGGTAAATTTTACGTTTATATTTTCCGAAGAATATAAAAATTCTTGTATATTAAAATAATGTGTTATAATTAATTTTTGTTAATTCTAGTGTAAAATACTCATTTTTTATGGGATTTCTCACGTGTACTCTTTAGAAAAAG